GTACCTCATTGTCTAGCACGACCTTGGATAAACCTATCTCTGCTTCCATTTTCTCATCTACAAAATAGAGATAATGATTTCTACTTCATAGGGTTGTTTTGAGGATAAAATGAGTTAATATATTAGAGTTCTGTGAAAGGCCTGGCATATAGTAGGTACTTTATAAGGGACAACTATTTTTATTATTATGTTATTTCATTATAATGAGTGTTTATATGGATTGATTACATATAATGAATTACACTTTTTCATGCTTACCATTTTGTTCAGTGCTATATCTACCAACTCTTTTATTCTTTCATCAGTCGCTTCCTCAGGTGACTGCTGGTGTAGACCGTTCTTCAACATGTCAAATATTTTCTCTCGAGAAATGTAACCATCACCATTCAAACAATAAACTTCAAAACAGACTTTTCAAAGCATAAGAAGTTTAAAGATTTGGATAAGAACAATTAAACTGTCATTAGTCTTCTCCTTTGTTATTTCAATATATAATTTTAAAAGGATGAAAACAATTTATACAACCTACAATTATTAGTATAGTAGAGAAACTTTATTATATATCTTTCTACAAGATTAAAATACCTATTGGGATGTGAAAAGTAAGATTTATAATCTCTGGACTTTGAAATTGAGGGTTTACAAATGCTATGAAGCAATAAAGGAGATATTTTGAAACCTTTGATCATACAATACACACTTACATATACATATATATGTGTGTGTACCTCAATATCATAGTTTCCTTCTTACATAGAGTACAAAAACTAGTACACACTTTACTATACCACCGACAAAGAACATTTTTCAATTCTATTTGGGTAATGAATCTGTCATCTCCTTAGGATCTCCCCATTTGTACTTTCCAAAATGATCAATCTCTCCCTGGAGGGTGACTTTCATGACTTTGATCTCACTGTGGAACCTCTACCACAGTTCACTCGTTCAGTCCACAAATGACCTTACTCAGGTCCTGGAGCCCTGGGGCAGTCTGCAATCTAGTTACATATTTCAGAGGACGGGAGGGGCGTGGGGGAAGGGAAGTGAAAGGAAAGGAAGGGCAAGAACATGAACAAGAACATGAACAAGAACCAGGTATAAAATATTCCCGAGTCTCAGGTTAGCTGTGTCTTTTTTGTTGTGTTTCTCCACTACAGAGCATGTATCACTTTGTGACACAACCCTACTAGAAGTAATATTTTCCTCAAGTTAACATACCTTGAAATGTATATGAAACATTTTTAGGAAGTGGGATTAGAGGAGGAAAATTTTTTTCAATAGTGTGATGTTATTCAATCATGTACAGCTGCATTTAGTGTCACAGCCACTTTCACAAGAATTTACATTTATGAAACTTAACTTTTCATTTCTCAGTGAGACTTTTGCATAAGAACACTGCAACAAACATATATGGCAACTATATTTAAATGTTCTCTTGTGAAAAATTATATTGGAGAAAACAAAACAAACCACATAATGTTGTAAGAAAAAAATAATTAAACCTCCCCCACATAATGTTGTTTTGTCAATTATACTTCAATTGTTTGAAAAAAAGAAGAAAAGGAAACAAAGAAACAAAAAAGTCATAAAGTTGGTGACTTAAAAATGTTGCTGTCATTTTAAAAATGTGTTTAATTTAGAGATCTTCTTTTGTACATCCCAAATGCAAATTCAAGTGTAAGGACAAGAAGGGATAAAAATTTCCTTACATACTCAGAAGTCTGCAGTCTTAAGCAATTTGACACTTCAAGCAACTTGTTCCCTTGAAAACTGCTATTTAAAATTGTTTCTATTCTCTTTCTAGGGTTTCACACCCCAAATTTTGGCACAGGAGGTGTGAAACATAGAAAGTATACATCATACCAATGGAACAGGTTGGGTGAGGCCAGAACTATTTCTCGGCAAAATTGTGAATTGGGAGATTTTTGTCTTTGGAATCCCTAACGTTCCTTTTCTGTAGGAAGCTCCCTTTATAGTCCTTCTTCCTTTGGACTTTCATTGTCTCCGCCTTCTTCCCTCTCTTTATTCATCCACACTAACTCTAACATTAGAGTAATGATGTCTGGACATTGTGTGTTTTTACCTTGCTTTATGTCAATCCCTTACATTTTTTCTGATGAAAAGACAAGAAAGGGCCCCAGTATGAACCATGTGCTGCCTCATATTAAGGCCTACTTCCTGCTGAGCCCAGAGGCAGCCCCAGAAACCTCAGCCTTGCCAGCGGCTCAGAGTTGGCACAAGCCCGGGCCTTTAGTTGCTATTCGTCACCTGGGCCGTAAGCCAGAGGGTGACATCTGGGCATTATAGAATCAGTGGAGGAAAGTTTTGGAGACCCTGGGACTAGGAACTCTCCAATGAAACAGGCCACCCATTTCATCTGTATTTTTTTTTAACTATCATGAACTAATTTTGCAAGATTGCTGTAGAGAACATTGATTTTATATTTTTTAAAAAAATATTTAAAGATTCACTAAATACAAAATTAACAATATAAACTACTAAGTTAGAAATTACATAGAGAAATCTTACACTTTAGCTTTTCTTCAAAAGTCCCTCGAAGAAACACCGATAATCCTTTAACCCACTCTTTCACATTTATGTAGTTATCATTGTCTTTGTCAAATGCAAAAAATACTGAAAGAAAAAGAACATGTAAGTGCATTGTAATTTACAGCTATTTCATAATTCAAGAGTATGTATGAATAGATTTAAAAAAAAACTTTCCTCCCCAAATGAGAGGAAAAATGGTTTTGGCACAATCTTTCTTAAAAAAGGCAAAATCACTGGAAATATATTTCCAACAGAATTTTATTGAAATAAATCATTCTCATCCATAGTCAATGATCATTTTCACTTGTGATGTTTTGTACAGTTACTATAAGCCAAGAAGACCAACAGTGGAGAAAATCAATGTGATAATTTTTACTCTAAAAAGAGTGGCAAAATCCTGTTCTAAAGAATTTGTACAATACCTAAAGACAAATTTCTCAAATAACATTATTTTTAAAATTATCAATGAAATCTTAGTATTACCCTTTAGAAAAGAAAATATTATTGACTCTTTTGGGGGTGATGGATATGTTAATTATTTTGATTACAGTTATGGCTTCAAAGGTGTATATGTACATCAAGACCTATCAACTCCTGGGCATATATCTGGAGGGAACCCTAATTCAAAAAGACACTTGCACCCCAGTGTTCATAGCAGCACTATTACAATAGCCAAGACGTGGAAACAGCCTAAATGTCCATCGACTAATGACTGGATAAAGAAGTTGTGTCATATTTATACAATGGACTACTACTCAGCCACAAAAATGATAAAATAATGCTATTTGCAGCAACATGGATGGCCCTGGAGAGTGTCATTCTAAGTAAAGCAAGCCAGAAAGAGAAAGAAAAATACCATATATCACTCCTATGTGGAATCTGAGAAAAGAAGACAAATGAACGTATATAGAAAACAGAAACAGACTCACAGACATAGAATACAGACTTGTGGTTGCCACGGAGGAGGGGGGTGGGAAGGGATAAACGAGGAGTTCGAGATTTGCAGATACTGACTGGTACATATGAAATAGATAAACAAGTTTATACTGTATAGCACAGGGAAATAAATTCAATATCTTGTAGTAGCTTATGGTGAAAAAGAATATGAAAATGAATATATGTATATGCATGTATGACCGAAGAACTGTGCTGTACAACATAAGTTGACACGACATCGTAAACTGACTATACCTCAATAAAAAAAAGATAAAAAAACACAAACAAACAAACAAACAAGACATCTAATTGAACACTAAAAATCTGTAGGTGAAATTGACTTGATCCCATTAAATAATTTCCTATTTTAAATACATAATTATTTCTTTGATCTTTCTCAATATGAGTAATTATGTTTTGGTGTCGACTGATACCTTCTTCACTTTTATGAAGAAAAAGAAATCATTTGATAATTTACATGCCTACAGCATATGAATTAAAAGACATCATGATTAAAAACCATAAGCTTATCTTTAAAAAAAATACTGCTAGCTTATTTAGTTCATTATTGGTTCTCTCTCAAAGTGGTACAGCTATGAGATATGAAATTCTGAGTGAGTTTATATTAAAAACCACCCTCACAATCAAATCAGTTACTGGTTTAAATTGGTAGCACTATCAGAATTGTATCTTTCAGTTTGGTATTTAAAAACTCAGTCTTCGGTGAAAATTGAATATATATATATATATTTGCCATATTAAAAATACATTTGCCATTATAATACATGCTTGCCATACACTTGTATATACATGTATATGCCATCTCAGCTTGGCCCGTTTCAGTCTCTAGGACTTCTTACCCCTATTCATTAGCATATCATCAGTCATTCCAAACACGCTGTGCAGGATTGCTTGAAATGCATTACGATCCAGTCCAGTGTTATCAAGTCTTACATCAGCTCTTTTCACCAAGCTGTGAAAAATTCTTATGAGACACTCTATTTCACTTTTTTTGACTGTAAAATGAAAATACAAATAAACATAACTTAGATTTAATCATCGAGTTTTCCATCCCAATTAAAAATATTTTAAGCAGCTATTCTGTTCCTATAATGCTAAATGCTTAAAAGTATGACACAGATTTGCTACTTAAGAGCTTATAGAATTAAGATGGGCTTTACTCAAAAGTCTCACAAGACAGTATACAAATGGTAAGTTATGTAATATACTCATCACTATAGACGTGTGAAGAGAAATCAGTATAGGAGAGAAGAGTTGGGCCATTTCCATGGAGGTGACTTTGAACTGAGCCTTGAAGGATACACAGTATTTATATATATGTGTTGAGGATGGTAAAGAAGTGGAGAATTCCAAGGAGAGAGGAAGAATTGAGGTTGAAGTTGGAACATGATTTACTGGGAGCACAGCAAGTTGGAAAGAAGTGAAAAACAAGACTCAGGAGGATGGGTTAATGGTAGAGGGCCTTGAATGCCTAATCAGAGGATTAACATTTATTTCACTGGAGATGTTGTTTCTTATGGTGTCATTTTTGGACCATCTGTATGAAAATTATCCCCCTTGCATTGCTTGCTAAATATTTGTTGAATACGCAGATTACCAGGCCTTGCCCCAGACCTACTAAACAAGAATTGCTAACAGTGGGCCCAGGAATTGGCTTTTAAACAAGAGCTTGGCTGACTCTTCTATGCTGTAAGGTTTGAGAAATGGTTAAAGAAAATTTATCTGGCAAAGCTGTGTTGAAATGACGGAGACAACTGGAAACATAGAAACAAGGCTTGGTGTGACAGGGCTTTGACTAGGGAGATGGAAATGAGGTCAGAAAGCACGTAGGATGCCTCAGATGCTGCAGGAAATCAAGCCTTGGTAACTGATTTCCAAACTGAAACTTTTTCATATTTACATACTTGGATCTCATTCCAGACTTCGTAAAAGTATTTTTAAGAAGCGCACGGTGATGCATTTCCCAGGACTGAGAACTAAGAGATTAAGCTTTGTGCACTGGGAGTTCCAGATTTAAGCATCTGGGTTCCACTTCCATTTCTTATCCTACATGGCTGACTTAGACAAGCCTTACAGCCTCCTTCTGCCTTAGAGTCCTCACCTATAAAGTTCAGGCCTTGTCCTAGATGATCTCTGAGATTCTTTACTTTCTGAAAGTCTGATTCTATGAATCAAGGATTATTTGAGATAATTTAGAGTTAAGAGGGAAAGCTGGTTATTATTTTTTCTTTTCTCTCCTCTCCTCCCCCTCCCCCCTTTTTCTCTTGTGGGGAAGTTGGGGAGAAATAAATAATTATTTTAGATTTTGTCTTTGAGGTGATTTCAAGTTGCCCAACTGAAACCAATGAGAACCCACTGCAAATATTCAGTTTACATTAGGGTTTCTACTGTGGTCAGAAGGATGACTTGACTCTTACGGTAAAGGTTGATAAATCCATAGAATAAGCAATTATAAATATACCTAATAATACTATTTTATGAACTGAATTAGATTCTCAGGCTTCACACTGTAACTATAACCCCCAAAATGTGACATAAAGGTAATTTTATCCATTCAATAAGCATTTATTAAGGGCTTCCTATGAACCAGGCAATATATATACACCATGGTCCTGGTCTCAAGGTTGTTACACTTTGATCAAGAGATAAAGAAATGCAATGAAGTATTACAAACGCTGATTTATGGTGATTGGTGACCCAAAGAAAGGAAACTAGGGGGAGGCAACAAGAGATTAAGGGGCCTGAGGAAGAGGTGTCACTTCAGCTAAAGCCAACCAAAGGAGTAAGCATTTGCTAGATGAGGCAGCTTGAAGGCAGAGAAGGATTTTCTGAGAGCCTCAGATGGTTTAGTTAGAATTGTTCAATTTTACAGACAACAAGAAAATTTTGGCTGGAAAGATAACAGGGTGAGATTTGCATTTAAGGAAGATCAGACTGACAGTAGATTCTTGAAACTACCTCATGAATGGTGAATCCAGATGTGACAAGTTGTATTTTCCCAAAGACGATTTTTAGCAACCTGTCCCATCTCATATGGTCTTCTAACAGTGTGACTTTTGGAGAGATGGGGGTTTGTCTCCTTCACTTGAAACTAAAGGGATTTTTCTGTGACCGTTTCAACCAACAGAGTACAGTGGAAATAAGGCAATGTGACCTTTCAAGACGTGGTCATCGGAGAGGATGCAGCTGCCCTGAGGACAAAAACTTGGAAAGCCTCCCACTTTTTTCTTTTAATGGAATGGGAGGAAAAAGAAGGTCAGGTGTGGACACACTGTATGGAGTGCATAGTAATATTAATGCTTGCCTGAAAGTAGTCCTGCTCAACTCTTGTGGAGAACGTGAGTGGAAAATTTAGCACCAACAGTAGTGTGAAAATGGATCCCCAAGGAAAGCAAGTGTTCAAAGAGTCAGGAGCTGCTCTGAGTCAAATACTGATAAGTCATCCAACAAAACAATCAAGGATTTTAGACACAATCTTCAGCAGGTAATAGGAGTTTTATCCATGCAGCTCACATTTCATTGTCTCTAAAGACCTTACACATGTGGTCAAAGAATCACTGTGAATGACAGTTGAGAAATTGTGGCTGAGAATGGTATTGATATGCTAGAGACTGGCCTATGTTATTCATTAAACTTCTTAGTTTGGAATAACTTTAATTCACATAAGAGATGCAATTATAGTAGGGTTTGCATAAACTCCTTATTGTTTCTCCCTGCTAACATCTTACACAATCATGATGCATTTGTCAAAACTAATACACTAACACTGGCACATTATTATTAACTAAATTATAGAATTTTACGAGCTTTCCCACTGATGTCCTTTTTTGTTCCAGGATCCAATCCAGGATCCATTTGGTTGTCATGTCTCCTCCAGCTAGTCTTAACCCTTTCCACAGCCTTGACAGTTTTACTTTTGCATAATGGCCCTCAATTTAGGTATGCTGAGTGTTTTCCTCATGATTAGACTGGTTATGTGCCTTGGGGAATACTACTGACATAAAGTGTTCTTGTCACCTAACAGGAGATACACGACACTAACATGACATATCACTGCTGACGATAACCTCAATCACTCAGTTAAGCCAGAGTCTACAGGTTTCTCCACTGTAGCTACTACTTTCCCTTTCCACAATCTGTTCTTTAGAAGCCAAGGTAAGGTAATTAAGCTCTACTTCTTGGGTAAGGGGTATTTATACTATTATTTGGAATTACTCTGAGGAAGATTTGTCTCTTTACCACTTATTCAGTTTTTTATGTTAGTAAGTAGCCACATATATTTATTTTATACCAATACTATATTATTGTGTAGCTCAAATTGTTCCAGCTTTGGCCATTGGGAGTTTTCAAGCTGGCTCCCGTATCTTTTCCACATATCTTTTTGTTTTTTCAACACTTCCTTGCTTTCTGACACCACTTGCCAGGCCCATCTTGTATTATCCGTGTGATAACAGAAAAAAAAAAATACTGGTCTCTGCTCCTGGTTCCTGGCTCAGAACTCCTATATCTCTTAGAATTTCCTGGTTGATAGGCTGTCTTTTGTCCTAACAAGGTGACTGTTGTTTGCTCCTGGATGTGAGCAGGTCACCAGAAAAACCAAGCCATGATTAAAAGCTTGGAACTTTAAGCCCCACACCCCCATTTCTCCAAAGGGGGATTGGAAATTGAGCTAATCTAATGATCTATCATGACCATGTGATGAAACCTCCATAAAAATCCCCCATAAAGGGGTTTGGGGAGCTTCTGGGCTGGTGAACACAGAAGTGCTGGGAGAAAGCATGGGAACTCTGTATCTGTTCCTATATACCTTGCTCTATGCATCTTCCACTTGGCTGTATCCAACTATATATCCTATAATAAATTGGTAATCTAGTGAGTAAACTGCTTTCCTGAGTTCTGTGAGCTGCTCTAGCACATTAATTGAACATGAGGAGCCTCTGATTTATAGCCAGTCAGAAGCACAGGTAACAACTTAGACTTCTGATTGACATCTGGTGGGGTGCAGTCTTGTAGGACTTTACTCTTAACCTGTGAACTTTGATGCCATCTTCAGACAGTGTCAGAATTGAGTTACTCTGTAGGGAAATCCAGCTAATGGCAGAAAATTGTTGGGAAAACCTCCACATAGTTGGAGGCCAGAAATATCAGAAATGTGAGTATGGTGGTAGAGTTAGAGTACAAGAGAAACAAACAGCAGCAGTGTTTTTCCTGTATGTGTTATTCAGCTATTTCTTCAGGGAAATCTGGTTTTTTTATTTAGAGTTTGGTGTTTAGAAACCAAGGTCTAGGCACTGGGTGTGCTTGTTACTACTGGGTGTTAATACTTCTAAGCCTTCTCAGCAGACACAGCTAGGAAATATGTTGTAACTAACCTATGTGCACACATATTGGCCCATGTTATGTCACACAAATACAGCAAAAGCCAGGTATTAGACTAGTGGACCTTTAGGTGGTCCTGGGCTAAGTCCTAAAAGAGATAATCAACTATATTAAAGACTCATGGATGCTCAGAGAAGACAGGCTGATGAACTCACAAGAGCAAATGAAACTACACTTCACTTCCTCCATCTGATAGGAGTGGATCAGAGGAAGGCAGTTCACGAAAATACCTGGGTTTTAGCAAGGCATCTGACAAAATCTTATTCTTAGTTAACATCTACTCAGTAACAAGTAGTGCCGAGCACAAGAGTAGGTTCTCAATGTTTGCTAAATAAACGATAACCACTTGTAAATTGGGGAAGATAAGGAATAAGCTAGATCAGAGTCAGGATCCTACATAATCTCAGGATGCCAAAATAATCAGTTGAATCAAACAACATGAATTACGAGTAATTTAACAATTCTTCACTTTGCTTAAAAAATGTTAATTATGTAAGTGTGAAAATTATGGCTGAGCAACAATTTGTATGAAAAAGACTGGGTCAACTCCTATTAAAGTGGGATTGATACTAGGCTGACACAACTGAAGTTTCGCCTGGAAAAGACAATTTTGATCAGGATCCTCACACTTTAGTGTCTAAGAATACATGCAGTGAACAATCTGGATGTTTGGCCCACACTTTCAGAGATATTTTAATATACCAGAGGGGTACTCAGGGATCTACATTTTCAATTAGTTGATTCTGATGGCGGAGATACTCCTACCATAGCACGAATAAAAAGTACACAGCCAGGATCAACTACCACATTTGTAGGCCCAATGCGGAATAAAAATGCAGGTCCCTTATTAAAAAATTAATTTTAAGTCAGTGTTAGCAGCACACTAACCCAAGTATGGTACCCTGTGAGAACGCATAGGCTGAACACCCATGAAGCCATTTACTGCACCCTGAGGTAATTATCTGCCTCCCCCACCAGATTAAAGGGCTATTATCTGCCTGACTCTAGATCAGCAATGTCTGACAGAACTTTCTAAGATGATGGAAACGTTCTGTTATCTGTGCTGTCCAATTTGGTAGCCACAACCCACATGCAGTTATTAAGCCCTGAAAAATGGCTGGTGTGACCAAAACTGGATTTAAAATTCTACTTAATTTTAATCTACATCTAAATACTCACATGTAACTAGTGGTTACCATATTAAACAATGTAGCTCTAGGGAGCAGTATGAAAATCGATAGGTAGAAGTTACACTAGGTCCAGAATGTAAAACATTCTAGATCTGTCAGAGGTGAAAAAAAAGGAAACAGCTGCTTGGCAAGTTAAGGTAATGAATCTCCTTTGTGAGGTCACTGGGGGTAACCAGCTAAGGATCTGAGACAAGAGTCATGCAGTGGCATTGGCCTGGACTGAAGGAAGCCATATGGCACATTGAGGACCTAGCAAATAGAGAAGGCCCCCTTCTAAGGAGCTCTAAGGCAAAGCCAAGGAAAAACCACTTCAACTTTCTGCCACATGACACAATTGGAACTTTGCACACCAAGAGAAATAATGAAAAGATAGACCCTTTTGAGAAGGCCAAGGCAGCACTAGCTTTTTAGTCCATCACACTCCTATCCATTAATAACCAAATTCTGGCCATAAGAGGACCAAAATCTATCCTGGTCTCAACTGGATGGCTCAAGAACTAAGCTGACTGCAACAAATTTTAATCATGCCCTTACTATGGGACAGCACTATACAGAATGACCATGAGGGTCTATGATGCTGATCAGTAGGATTAATTTGAGAAGTAAAGATTATTTGAATGTAGACGCCAGCATCAGACTACCTGGGTTCTAGCTTGGCTTCCACCCGAAAAGTTCACCAACAACTTAAAGACATGGTTTTCGCATCTGAAAACATGGATAATTATTACCTACCCCATTGAGTTTGTTCTGAGAATTAAAAATGAGGAACATAAACCATTTCGCAGTGTCTCACCAATGAAGAACTCAATAAATATCAGTTGTTGGTAATCTTGAATGTAAAACCATAATCTTGTTACACTTGTGAATAGCTATGTTTAAGAACTTAGGGCCTGAACTTTTGACCATAACTTAAGAATTAATAAGTATCAAAAACTTTGGAAAAAGAAAGGAATGCAACTCATTCCTTTTTTCAACTAAAAGTATCTCCTTCATAGAAGATTATATGGGATATCGGTCTGAACAAGTATACTCATACCTACAGACTATTTCAGAGGGCTGCTTTTAAATAAAAAATTATGGTATTAAACACACATTTGGGTAGCAGACATTGCTAAAA